GAAAGAGACAGCTCTCTTCCTGACAGTAAGACTTGAATTAATAAATGTAGAAGAAAGTAGAAAATAGAGATCACCATTAGGCAAATACCACAGTAATAAATATTTCAGACAAGATCCATAGATGTTGCTAAAATTAATGAGTAAAAGTTTGAGGACAAACAGGATTTGTACAGTCTCAAAGTATCTCCTGCAAGATACTTATCAACTACGAAAACTACAGTAAAGAAACCAGGTGGACATCAACTTAATCAAGTGATCAAGATAAATGTTACCAGTAATAAGAGATGTAGATGTCATGACTCCTTTAATCCAGGGGTCCGCAATCCCCAGGGTTCCAGACCAGTACCCAGCCATGGCCTGTTAGGACCTGGGCTGCACAGCAGGAGGTGAACCCCGTGTGAGTGAGCGAAGCCTCATCTGTATTTGCAGCTGCTCCCCAGCGCTAGCATCACCACCTTGGCTCCACCTCAGATCATCGGGCATTAGATTCTCATAGGAGCATCAGTCCCTGGTGCCAAAAAGGTTGGGGACTACTGCCTTAATCCATTCTTGTTAAACCTCATGAGTTAAAGGTCTTTTAAAATATATTTTGCACTGTACCTAGTAGTTAATGCATAGGGTCTGAAGATATAGAATTTACTTTCTGTGGATCCTACTGATTACTGCCACACCACTATCTCCAAGCCCACTCTCCCACAGAGATGAACTAATTTTATTAGTAATACTAGCAGCTAAATTTTATTGTTTACTATTTTCCAGCCACTGTGCTGCATAACCTATCTGCATCTATTATTTATGTAAATGCTCAGATAATTTTCTCTCAGGTTTGCTGGGTGTGTTTTTTCATGTGATTCCTCTAGTCAATGAAGGCACAATACCCCAACAATATAGCATATGAACCACATCTGAGAAATCTTGGAGAATCTTATCTAAGCATTTTACACAAATAGAAGTTAGTAGCTACTGAATATTGAGTATTTATTCTGTCAGGCACTTTATATGAACAAATTCACTATGTTCCTACATTAACCTTATGAGTTAGATACTATTAGTATTCTCAGTTTTGTCTGACTCAGAGCCCAAACTCTTTTAGCCATTACACAGTTTGCTTTCCAGAAGAAGAGTGTGTGTGAGTGTGTGTGTGTGTGCACGTACGCATGCATTTGTGTTGTCTCTATGTGTGTGAAAATTCTGCATTATTTTTTCTCAAATACATTGCACACTTTCCTGTATAACAAATGGAAGATAGTGAATATAACTTAATCTTTTCCTGATTATCAAGGTTATTGCTATAGATTTTTTTGTACAGATTTTTTGTACCATTTATAAATGCGGAAATATTGCTCACTAACCCAAATCATACTCAGAAAATATTTTGCTAAATAAATCTCTTACATCACCTCCTTTTCTTGTCATCTATCTCTTTCCCATAGACTCAAAGTGTAGCATGTGGCCTCTGGACAGAGTAACATACCTACTTTTTACACTAAGAATAATAATTACATTTATGATAAATCTAACATTTTATGTAAGTGGGGAAAAGATTAATTATTTAGTAAATGGTGTTGGGACAACTGAGTAGCCAACTAGAAAAAAAAAGAATAATTGAATTTCTATTTACCCCTTCCACAAAATAAGTGTCTACTGAATAAAAAAAAAATTAAATGTGAAAAAAGAAATTATAAAAATGCTACAAGAAAACATAAAGTAATTTAAGAAAATAACTGGAGTAGGGAAGCTTTCTAGGTGTGACACAAAACTCAGAACCCAGAGAAAAGAAAAGATTGATTTGACTCTACAAAAAATAATTCTGATGGGAGAATAGCATAAACAGTGAAAAATACAATGACAATCTGGGAAAAAATACATTCGTACCACAGTGATGAAGGGCTAAATAATACTCCTATAAAAATTGAACTCCTATAAAATATGAGAAAGACCTACAATAAAAGGGACAAATATACAACAGCAATGATCCCATGCACAGTAGAGATCAGGTCTTCCAGGGGATGAATTAGAAAAGGGGGCCTTTATGCAGTGTGCATGGCTAGGAGAATAGTGAGGCCAGATTTCGATTTCCATTTCCATGAACTGCACATCAAAACTTAGCAGCCCTGAACAAAAGACTTGGCCAAAGAGCTTACGAGAAAAAAAATACAAATTTCACTTAAACATATGAAAATATGCTCAACTACACCCATGATAAGAAACATACAAATTAAAACTATACTGATCCGTGTCTTGCACCTTATACAAAATGACCTCAAGATGAATTATAGACCTAAATATAAAAACTAAACTTTTAGAAGAAAACATAGAGATGATCTTTGTGACTCTGAGTAAGGCAAAGATTTCTTAGATACAACACCAAAAACATGACTATTAAAGAAAAATAGTCAAATTGCACTTTGTCAAAATTAAGAACTTTTGCCTCTCGAAAGCTGCTGTTAAGAGAATAGACAAGCCACTGAAGGGGTTACTCTGAGGTATTTTAAATAGAAGAAAAATCAAGAAATAGAACACTTGTATATAATCATTGATGTTATCTTAACACACACACATATGTATTAATATTTATGTGGTTATATATACTTAGGAATCTCTGGAAGGATAATAGAAATAGTTGCCCTTCTGGTGGACAATGGGGCTGGGAGATAAGGGGAAGAAGTAAAGAGGGAGGGAGGGTTTACTTTCCTCTGAATATATTTTTGAATTTTGTACCATGTATGCATATTACCTATTCAATTAAATCAACTAATATCTATTATTTCTATATTAAATTCACTTTAAATTAATTTCTGACATCAGATAGTGGAGTCCTTTTTATCACAGATCACCGCATTATTTTTTCTCATGCAGAAACATTGACATCTTGTGGACTTTTAAGATAATGCTGCTTTTTTTTATGGCAACATTGGTTAATGAAATCTAGTAAGTTTCAGCCGTACACTTTAACGGTAAGGCATATGTATATTTACACTTAGTGTTCACCTCCCATAGTTAGATTTCTTTCTGTCACCATATATTTGACCCCCTTTACCCCATCTACCTCCCCCCTCCCCTCTGGTAATCACTACTCTATTGTCCATGTCCACGAGTCTCTGTTTGTCCTGTTCATTTGTTACTTTTAGGTTTATATCCCACATATAAGTGATATCGTGTGATTGTCAACTTTTTCTGTCTAGCTTATTTTGCTTAGCATGATTATTTCGAAGTCCATCCATGTTATCGCAGATGGCAATATTTCATCTCTTCTTATTGGTGAATAATATTCCATTGTATATATGTACCACAGCTTCTTTAGCCAATCATCTATTGTAGGACACTTCGATTGCTTCCATGTCCTGGCCACCGTGAATAATGCTGCTATGAACATTGGTGTGCAAATATCTTTTTGGATGTGAGTTTTCAAGTCTTTGGGGTAAATACCCAGTAGAGGGATTGCTGGATCATATGGTAGATCAATTCTTAGTTTTTTGAAGAACCTCCATACTGTTTTCCATAGTGACTGTACCAATTTGCAGTCCCACCAGTAGTGTATGAGGGTTCCTTTTTCTCCGCATCCTCTCCAAGATTTATTATTACTTGTCCTATTGATTATAGGTATTCTACCAGGTGTGAGATGGTATCTCATTGTGGTTTTGATTTGCATTTTCCTAATAGCTAGCGATATTGAGTATCTTTTCATATATTTCTTGGCCATTTGTATGTCTTCTAAGGAAAAGTGTCTGTTCAGGTACTTTGCCCATTTTTTGATTGGATCGTTTGTTTTTTTGTTGTTGTTATTGAGTTGTATGAGTTCTTTATATGTTTTGAATGATAATGCTATTTTAAAAAATTAATTTAATTTCTAATTTCAGTTGACATACAATATTATATTAGTTTCAGTTTACAACATAGTGATTAGACATTTATATACCTTAAGTGATCACTCTGATAACTCCAGTACCCATCTGACACCATACAAAGGTATTATAATA